GCAAGCTGCAGGTCCAGGATTTGACCCATAGTTGGCCACGTGGTTAAGGCGTTGGCCTTCCACTTGGCTGACTGTGGCTTGAGTCCTGGGCCTGGCGGCTTGAAACGCACACTGGGCACGTGTGCGTGCAGGCCCAGATCCCAGGGGGAAGACGGAGCAGGGACTGTGGTGGCCATCCCCGGGAGTTTCTCACTTTCCCTCTCACTGTCTTTCTCTGACACTGCTCTTGGCAAGCAAAAACTTTAAAAACAAACAAACCTTAACCACCATGCCACCTGCCAGCCCCCATGGAGTATTTCTCAAGCTTCCAGGTCCTGGGTTCAAACCACACAGCCGGCCATGTGGGATCCAGCCCCTGGCCCCCACACCCCCGGCTGGCCCAGGGCTGCGATGCTGTAAGGTGGGAAACCACAACAGGAAACGCGACCGTCACACTTCCGTGTGCACAGCTCTGCAGTCATAGGCCCAGTGCCTCCGACGCTGACCTCAGAGGGGTTCTTGCCTAGGACAGGGGCCGCCAGGCCAGCCTGGAGCTAAGACCAGCACTTCCAAAAGACAGCCAAGGTGTCTGGAGTTATGCAGACCCCAGGGAGCGCCCCAGGAGTGAGGGCAAGCACGTTCAGGGACACTGACTGAGGCCTGCCGCAGCCCAGCGAACCCACGTCTCTCACATGGCCAGAAGCTACAGAGTGCCACGTGCACTTCCTAGTCTGTGCACGCCAGCCCACCGAGGTCCCCTTACAATAGCTCAACAGAAAGTGACGGGACCACTCCCAGCCTCTCTGCGCCACCCATGCCAGTGCCCTGGTCTCTCGGCCTCAGCCTGGAACGCTGACCCCGCCCATGCCAGCTGCACGCACAGCTGGTTCTTCAGGGCTGGGCCAGGCACCACCCCTGCTGCAGAGCCCTCCTGGGCGCCTGGACCTGGGCAGCCCTCTCCTGCCCACGGCTGCTCACACACGCATCCCCTCCCTGCTGGGGCCATGTCTGTGAAGTCACCACACGAACGGTCCCCACCCCACCTGGGGTCCTCCCCGTGATGGTGCCAAGCAACATGCACCTGCCACACGTACCTCGGGCGCTGTAAGCCCATCCTGCTTCTCGCTTTGAGAACAGCGTAACAATTCCTGGAGCTACTCAGCACCACGACAAAGCGGGCCTCGGGGAGAGGCTGGCAGCTGGCAGAGGCTGAGCATGCCCGGTGGTCGGCGGTTGGCACTGGGCTGGCCAAGCGGCAGGCAGGTGTGGTTGTGCATCTCCAAGCCGATACTTTCATCAACAGGGGCCCGTCACGATGTACCTCTGGAAGTCCCCTGGAAGCCAGGGAGCTCCTGCACAGACCCGCAGCAGTGGCTGTGGCTGGTCTCGCCGTCTGTTAGATGGGCAAGGAAACCTCCCCGTCCTTAGGGTAGGAAGTGACAGGAACTGGGACTCCAGCCCAGGCCTGTGAGCTGAGGCTCGCTCCTAGCCCAACACCGTACAGAAATTCAGAAGTAGCATGCCATTGCCCCAGCACACACCACCGGCAAGCTTAGGCCAGGACAGAACGCAAGGGTGCCCACCTCCTCTGCACCGTGTCACCAGAAAGAAGACACGAGTGGCTCCCAAGAGCAGCCTCTTGTGGCCAGACAGGAACCCCGAGGGGAAGACAAAGGTGGAAACTGCAGAGCCCACAGACTCAGAGAACGGAATGCCGTCGTGAGGAACGCCAGTGGGAAGCAGCTGTGCTGGGGTCCCCGTGAGCTTCGCCAGCTCGGGCTTGGGGCGGGGGAGCTCCTGGGAAGGGGCTGGGCAGCAGGGACACTCTGGGGCAGCCGAGCGGGCAGACGGCGGAGCTGCACTGAGGCCCCGTGGGTAGGCAGCACGAGCTGGTGACTCGGAGGCTGGACAGACTGACAGGAGGCTTGGGCTCACAAGTCTGGCAGGCAGAGGTGGGGAGCCACGCACAATCTACGATGCTGCCCCCTAGCGGTGTGCACACCAGCCTGCGGTGCCCGGCCAAGCCCTTAACTGTGGCTGCCGGTGCTAGAAGTCAGTCTGCCGCGCCTGCTTCCATGCAGTGACCAACCCTCCTGTATTTTCCATCTTTGCAAACATGAGCCCCAGGTGCCCAGCTGCAGCAGGACTATGGGGCAGGGCTGCCTTGCCCAGCTCTGGAAGCTGCAGCCAGCACCAGGCCCAGACATGGCCACTGCCACCACACATGCTGCGTCTCAGACACCTGGCACCCAAGCGTTCCCGTCAGGACCGACAGGACGGAGAACCCAGGCAGGCAATGCTGGCACACAAGTGAGTCTCACGGGCCAGGCCTGAGTGTCAGGGCATCTGACCTGCTGGCGGGTGTCACTGACACAGACGGGCCCTGCAGCCTACTAACAGGTGACATCGACCGTGCGGTCCACAGACTACAGCTGGGACCAGCAGGTGGCGTAACACTTACATTGCTGGCCTCCCTCGTGGTCAACCAAGGTTCAAGTTCCGACTCAGTGGCTTGAAACTTACACCAGGCACATGTGCGTGCATGTCCAACATCCCAAGAGGAGAATGGAGAAGGGACTACAGTGTGGCCGTCCCCCCGCGGGGTGATTTCTTGCTTTCTGTCTGTCTCTGTCTTTCCAGCAAGTGTACATGCCGTATAGCAAAAGCTTCTCTTCAAACACGCACAGACCACACTCCAGGCAGCAGTGGGCCCACAGCTGGGGCGGCAGGTCAGATCTGGCCACGGCCTGCGGTGTGTGCCGCCCCAGCTAAGAGGAATATTTTATCTTGTTAAATTTCTTCTACAAGCAAAAGTGACAGAGATCAAGGAGACCCCAGCAAGTCGACCGTGACCCACCTCCCACCAGCCCCGTTGTGCTTTGGGTCACGAGTACACATGCCCGGTGTACTCAGGGAGGTCTTAGGGCTTGAGCCATTAACGTTCCCATGAAGGATTCCCTCGCAGAGTGCCCCAATGTTTTCATTCTTAAAGGAAGAGGCGGAAGGAGGGGAAGAGAGAGGGAGAAGCAGACAGACCATTGGTGCAAAGCCTCAAACATTAACTTTGCCTTTTTCTGTTGAGTTTGCCAGTGGGTGTGTGCTCACTGGACAGGAATGGAGAAGGGCCGGGAAATCAGCCCGGGGCGATGCCACGCCACAGCCCCTTCTCCCCACTTCCCCCTCGGGGTGGTGGGCACACACACGGCCCACCCGCTAACTTTCAGGTCACGGGTCCGGGACTCGAGTCACAGTCAGCCAGGAACCGGCAGCCTCCTCTGGACTGACCCTGGAGCAGAAGGGGAGGGTGGCCATGGCACCGCTGGGGTGGGGCACACACCCCAAGGACAATAAAGAGGGAAGACTATCAGTTCCACGGGGCTGGCCCAGGGAGCAGGCCCTCTGACCTCTGCAGTGGGGGAAGCAGGAAAGGGGCAGCCAAACCACAGCCCCAGAGCCTGCGGCTCAGCAGGGGCCACCCCACCCCGACAGCACCGGGCCTTCTGTCGTGCTTCTGACACCCACGTGGAAGGTCACGTCTGCTTAAATGTCAGTGCCTGAAAAAGTAAATACAGCTGCCTGTTTCCGGGGCCTTGAACCAGTTAATCCGCTCCCTCTCCGCCTTCAGCTGTGAAAGCCCCCTTGTCTCCCAGCCAGTGCACCCTGATGTTTCCGAAGGACAACAATAGCACCCTTCACAGGAGCAGGAAGACCAGGCAGGGCGTCTGCGAGGGAACCGTTCTAAGTACCGAGGGCGAACAGGAAGACAGGGTGCCACCACGTGCTGCACGGCGGGCAGGGTCCTGGCTGGAGGGCCCGGCGGTCACACGGCCTCCCTCGTGCTCCTGGGGATCTGCTGCAGAGCTGAACCACTTGGAGGAAAACACACACACCGTCCAGCTGCGGCCCGAGGTAGCCTCCTTTTTAATAAACTAAAAATGTCTGCAAATTGTAAATTAGTCTCTGCCTTTTTTAAAAAAAAATGAGACAGAGAAAGGGGGAGGAAGAGGGAGAGAGAGACATTTTCTGACCATCTCTCCAGGCTGCCACCCTCCTGCCCTAACGGCTGCTGAGCACCTGGTGACGCACACTCCCAGGCATTTCGCTGGGCCAGGAACCACGGGGCCCCCAGGTGGCCTGCTCATGCAGCAGCACCTCCTGCCTGCCTGGCTGTGGCCACGCTCCTTCTCCACCTTCTGGCCTGCGAGTTCCTGCTCTCCCCAAGTCTGCCCACCAGGACGCAGCTCCTGCAGGGACAGCTCATGCCCACAGCACCCAGCGCATCTCGGGCCGTGGCGTGGGCGCAGCCAGACCCTTTCACAGTGACCTTTGTCTCCTTGCCACCTGCGGCCATGTGATTCCAGACGGTCACCTGGCCGTTTCCTCACCTCTAAGTCCTCTCAGAACAGGCTGTTTTGAGGATTAAACGTGTGGACACGATAGAACACGTGGAACAGGCTGGCCACACAGCAGAGCACGGGGACGGGCCAGCCACACGGCAGAGCACGGGACGGGCCGGCGCCATGGCAGGACACATGGCTGGCTGGCACGAGAGCGCAGGTGTGGTAAGTACTGTCCGCCACCCCTTGGTCAGCGTGCTCGTCTACCCCTCCGTCCCACCATCACACTCCCTCTCCAAATACCTTACGCTGGAAAAGCCTGCCCCACCTCGGCACTGCGTTTCGCTAAGTTTATTCCTTCCGACAGACACACACAGACAGCACCCTCAAGGTCTTTAGCCGGACCCACCTCATGAGCTCATGTGTGTGCTGGCCACACTCAGGAGGGCTCCAGAGGAACTATCTCTCGGGACGGCATTTCATGGCTGCACCACCATCCGGCCCTATCGGCCCGCTGCCTTCTGGACCACAGGGGCCTCCTGGGCACCGCGGGGCACCAAGCAACCCCCGGCCTCTGCCACACCCCGCCAGCAGCACCCGCTTCGTGGGCGACCACGGACTAGGATACTAAGCCGAGCGTGGGGTCTGGTGGCCTCCCCCAGCCCCTGGCTGCCGCCCGCTCACCACTCAGCTGCCTGGGGGCGGACAGGCGGTAGGTGCTGTAGACGTCGTTGCCGAACTGCAGCTGCAGCTCAGGGCTGCCCGCCAGCAGCTGCGCCACCTGCTCTGCCTGGAACGGCGTCTTCTCCAGGATCACAACGGCGTCCTCGCTGTCCCTGTCCCCAGAGGCCTCGTTCACCTGTAGGCAGAGATCGCATCAGTGTCCAGGGCACTGCCAGAAGCACCCCTGCCATCTCCTGGGGTAGAAGCCCAGTGGGGCTCTCAGTGCCCAATTCCCCCCATGTTAGAGGGGAAGTGAAGACAGTGGAGCCTGGAGTGACCGAGTGACCGTCCAGGGTCACATGGACACTCAGCATTGGAGCAGAAGCCAGAATCAGTTTAAGAGAGATTTCTGGGGACCAGCAGGTGGCATCGTGGCTAGGGACACTCCCAAGTGGCCGTCCACAGTCCAAGTCCCGGACCTGGTGGCTTGCTTTCTCATTTTCTCTCTCTGTCTCTCTCTGGTCAAATGAAGAATAAAATGAATAATAAAAAAAGTGAACAAAATAATTCTTTTTTAAAAAAGAGAGGGACTGGGACCAGCAGGTAACATAATGGCTATGTCGCTGGACTCCCACGGAGTCGACTGTGGTTCGAGTCCCGGACCCGGTGGCTTAAAACTCACGCCGGGCGTGTGTGCGTGTGTGCCCAAGATCACGAGGAGAATGGAGGAGAAGGGATTGCGGCGCGACCATCCCCCCTGGGGAGTGATTTCTCGCTTTCTGTCTCTCTGTCTCTCTCTGTCTGTCTGGCGAGCGCATGCGCCCTATAGCAAAAACCTCTCCAAAAAAAAGAAAAAAAAAAAAGAGAGAGGGACCAGCAGTTAGCGTAATGGCGATGTCACTGGACTCCCATGTAGTCAACTGCCATCAAGAGTCCTGGACCCAGGAACCAGCAGTTAGCACAATGGCTATGTCGCTGGACTCCCACGGAGTCGACTGTGGTTCGAGTCCCGGACCCGGTGGCTTAAAACTCACGCCGGGCGTGTGTGCGTGTGTGCCCAAGATCCCGAGAGGAGAATGGAGGAGAAGGGATTGCGGCGCGACCATCCCCCCTGGGGAGTGATTTCTCGCTTTCTGTCTCTCTGTCTCTCTCTGTCTGTCTGGCGAGCACACGCGCCCTATAGCAAAAACCTCTCCAAAAAAAAAAAAGAGTCCTGGACCCGGTGGCTTGAACTCATGCCAGGCGCGTGTGCGTGCGTGCCCAAGATCCCAAGAGTAGATTGGAGCAGAAGGGATTGCAACGTGGCCATACACCCAAGGGATGGTTTCTCATTTTCTGTCTCTCTATCTCTCTCTTTCTGGCGAGCACATGCACCCTATAGAAAAAACCTCTCCAAAATAAATAAATAAATAAATAAATAGATAAATTTTTTAAAAGAGAGATTTTTCCTATAGGGCACGTGTGTTTGCCAGAGAGATGGAGGGTCGGAAAGTGAGAAGTCACCCCCAGAGGTGCTGCAATCCCTTCTCCTCCATTCTCTTCTGGGATCGTGGACATGCACACACACGTGTCCAGGGTGTTTCAAGCTACTGGGTCTGGGACTCGAACCGTGGTGAACCATGTGGGAGTCCAACAACATAACCACTATGCCAATCTGCTGAGCTCAGAAGCCAGAATCTCATTCGATGGCTCTCAAAGCCACACCTCAGCAGGGGCACGAGGGGGGGCGGCGGAGACAGGGGGCGGCCGAGGGCGGGCAGGGATGAGAGGCAGCGGGCCCTTTCAGAGCACCAGCCGCAGAACGGAAGGCCCCCTAGTCCTCCCGAAAGTGGGTGCACCGGGCTAATGGTTCTGGGAACCCACACACCACCCTTGGCCAGGCCTCCCCACTAGCCCTGGGATGGCCTCGGGCCCCCAAGAGCTGAGCACACAGCACGTGCTGCCATGTCTCCCCAGAGGCACTGTGCAGTCTCTGCGGCCGCAGTGATGCTCACCCTGGCCCAGCCCGAGCTATCGGGGTCAAGCAGGGCTAACCCCCACGGCACCCTCCGGGAGCGGCGCTGCAGCGGTGCAGGCCACTTCTGCCAGGACACCTGCCTAGACCAGCAGGCCTGGACTGCCCCACCTGGTCACCCACCTGGCCCCCGCGGGGGGACGTCCCAATCCTCCTGGCAAACCCTATTCCCCTTTCAAAGCCCTGTCTCCCCGCCCTCCGCACACAGGCACTGGCAGGCGTTCTGGTTCCGAGCCCGCTCCTGACATTCCACGCGTGGGGCCGAATCGACCCTTCGGAGGGCCTAGTGTGACCTCCTGCGATGGCCAGTGGTAAAGCAGGAGCAGCCCCAGGCCAGCGCCCAGGCTGGGGAGGAGAAAAGGGCAGGGAGGAGCCGGACGGGGGAGGAGTGAGTGACAAGGGGGTGGGGAATGGGGGGGAGGAGGCATTCCGAGCCCGCTCCTGACATTCCACGCGTGGGGCCGAATCGACCCTTCGGAGGGCCTAGTGTGACCTCCTGCGATGGCCAGTGGTAAAGCAGGAGCAGCCCCAGGCCAGCGCCCAGGCTGGGGAGGAGAAAAGGGCAGGGAGGAGCCGGACGGGGGAGGAGTGAGTGACAAGGGGGTGGGGAATGGGGGGGAGGAGGCAGGGGTGGGGCGGGGAGAGGCCTGGGTGGAGCGAGGAGCTGGGAGCGGGAAGGAGCCCGGGGCCGGGCAGGCCTCCACCTGAAGGCAGCGAGGAAACCCTGCAGAACTGGACCTGTAGTGTGGCCCCCCAGCCGCCGCGCCAAGCCACCCCCGCACCCGTGCTGCCCTCGGCGCCCGAGGGCGTGGTCGGTACGCCCGGACCTGTCTGCAGAGCCGCCCGGGCTGACGGGCTCCTCCCGCCGTCGCCCAGGGCCGCCCCGTGGTACCTTCCCGTGGAGGAAGATGATCTTGTCCCGCGCAGACTCCCTCAGCACTTTCTGCAACCTAAAGCCGGAGAACGGTAAGCGTACGGGGGCAGCGGTCCCATTGCCAACGCCTGCGTCCTCCCTCTCTGTGCCGGGAGTTTCCTCCTCCTCTGCGACCCGTTCGCGCTTTCTCTTGACGGGC